GGGGGGGGTGGGAGGTATGCGGGGCAGGGAGAAAGGAGGAGGAGGAGGAGGAGGAGGGGGGGCGTTTATGAAAGTGAAGAAAGTTAGCGACGGGAGATGAATAAGGAATGTGAAGGGGGGGGGTAGGTTAGGTACCCTAAGGGAAAGGAAGGGGGGGGGGGTGAGTGAGAGGGGTATGAGGGGCGGGGGGGGGGGAAGAGAGAAAGGGGTATGTTGTTTGAGAGGTTTTGTTAGTGGTCGTAGCGTTTATGCACTCTGCTTATTTAGACATTTTTTTATATACTCCTTGGATTTCACACACGTACACACGCATACCAAAGCCGTACGTGTGTGTGTGTATGTGTGTGTGTGTGTGTGTGTGTGTGGTGTTGTTCGTGCGTGTGTGTGTGTGTGTGTGTCTGTGTGTGTGTGTGAGTGAGTGAGTGAGTGAGGTGGTGTGTGTGTGTGTGTGTTGTGTGTGTGTGTGTGTGTGTGTGTGTGTGTTGTGTGTGTGTGTGAGTGAGTGAGTGTGAGTGAGTGAGTGAGTGTGTGTGTGTGTGTGTGGTGTGGTGTGTGTGTGTGTGTGTGGTGTGTGTTGAGTGAGTGAGTGAGTGGAGTGAGTGAGTGAGTGAGTGAGTGGAGTGAGTGTGAGTGAGTGAGTGTGTGCGCGTGTGTGTGTGTGCTACGCATTTTAATCACCCCCTCTCTCAAAACCAAATCCCGCCAAAGAAAAAAATAACCGAAAAAAAAATACTTAACCTCAAACCCCGCCATGAAAACCAAGATGGCGTGACAGTCAAGTGCCATTCTTCAAAGACAAAACGAACTCTCTATTTCACACACTCGTAACTCATCGGTAAGAAGCTCGTTGAAGAGAGCGCCTTGCCTCATCAATCAAGCGTGAAGTAAACGAGGAGACACGTATGTCACTTGTTTTGTTTTCTGTGTCGTTTCGCGGGGAATTTCAAATTTGCGCGGGAAATTTTGGATCTATTAAGTGCGGTCTGTTTGGGGTTGTAAGCGACCCGTCTCATCGAATTATCTAATCTGTCTCCATTTTGTATTTATTCTCACCACTATAATTAAAGATTATCTACTAACGATCGAATTTATTGAATGCTTGGGGATGTTGGAGAATTCCTTTCAATTTTAATTACAAGGAAGGAATTTAACTGGAATTCTTCGGGAGAAAGATGGAAGAGAAATATTTGGCGGGAATTTTATCTTATCGGACAATAGAAAATCAAAAGGCTATTGAGAGAACTGACTTGGAACAAATAAGGCAAAAGAATAAAAAAAAAAAAAGAATAAAGAGGAGATAATAAATGAAAGAAAAAGAACAAAAGAAAGAAAAAAGAAAAAACGTTTTCTTGAAAAGCCCCAGTCAAGCCAAATCAAGCTAAGTCAAGCCAAATCAACCCAAGTCAAGCTAAGTCAAGCCAAATCAACCCAAGTCAAGCTAAGTCAAGCCAAACGAAGCCAAGTCGAGCCTTATCAAACCCGGACCCAAAATTCGCCAAGCCGGTTCGTTAGGGCGTCCTTGTAGCCCCTCCTTCAGGCCCCCGCGGCGAGAAGGGCGAGGGGGGCGAGGCTGACCTAAATACCGGCTGACCTAGATCTCCAAGGGACAACAAACCGCAGAAGCCCGTTTTCTTTGAGGGTCGACCTTATCCTACGCCATCTGTCCCTTTTATCCCGTTTTCTATTCATCTCCGGCTCTCGCTTTCTCTTTCTCTCTCTCTCCGTCGCTCTGTCTCTGTCTGTCTGGCTCTCTCTCTCTCTCTCCTCTCTCCCTCTCTCTCACTTTCTCTGTTCTTCTGGATGCCTAATTTCTTAAGTAACGGATCTTTCTTATCTCTCTTTTTTTCTCTCTATATCAGATTCATCCCCAAATTCCCATTCTCTCTCTCTCTCTCTCTCTCTCTCTCTCTCTCTCTCTCTCTCTCTCTCTCTCATTAGTATCCCCGACTGACCGCTGATGAGTTGAGAAGGAAAGTTATTAGAAAGTTGTTTGTAATGTCTCCGTGATAATCATTTGCATGCGAGACCCTCTGGCTACGCATGACCAAAAAATATGTAAATAAATGAATAAATAAAGATTAAAGATGATCAAAATATATATAGGAGAAAGGAATATAATAATAGAAATATTCTATAACGAAGATATAACAATATAACCGAGATATAACCGGAAACGTAAGAAAAGTTTGAGGAAAAACAAAAGAAATTTGTAGAAAACGCGATAATGTGGATCCGCTTTAGAGAAAATCGCATCTTCAACCGACGGAGATTTCAACGAGTCGCTAGATACTTATCTTGTCTGTTTTTTAAATAGATGTTTGCGGTCTTCCAGAGAGCGTAGACTTTCTGTTAATTAATTACATGAGTCAAAAAAGTAAGAAAAAAATGTTAGTGACATATGCAAACAGACTCGTATTTGTGTTTTGTTTTAAGTGTTATTTTTTGCTTGTTTGTTTATGTGGATACGCTTTAGTGTGAGTACGCAGATGCGAACACGACAGAGAGAGTTGAAGATAAAGAAAAAAAAAACAAGAAAGGAAAAGAAAAAGAAAGACAAGGAAATGAGAGAGAAAATAGAAAGATAAGGAAATGAGAGAAAAAAGGAAAAACGAAAAAAAGAAAAGATGGAAGGAAAAAGAAAGAGAGAAAAAAAGAGAAAAGCTGATGCCTCGAGAAGGAAGGAGCGAGAGAGATGAGAAAGGGGGAAAGGGAGTGGGGGGGAGGGGAGGAGGGGCAGGAGGAGGGGCATAGACACCCAGAGGGAGGGAGGGATGGAGGAGGAGGGGGGGGGGGTCATGCCGGGAAAGCTATGTGGGGACAGTACAAGTTTCTCCACTAACCCCCCTCCCCCTCCCCCCACCACCGCCACTCCCCTTTCACCCTCCTGGCTCCCCCTCCTCCTTCTCCTCCTCCTCCTCCTCCTCCTCCTCCTCCTCCTCTTCCCTCTCCTTACTCATCCTTCCGTTTATCGTGTGTTTTAATTATGTTTTTTTTTCGTCTACATGTCATATATCTAATCACAAGTCATGAATTTAATATATAGAATGAGAGAGAGGAGATAACAGAAAGATAGAAAGTGAGTGTGTATGAGAGAGAAAGAGAGAGAGAGAGAGAGAGAGAGAGAAAGAGAAAGATAGATAGAAAAAGAGAGAAAGAAAGATAGAAAGACAGAGAGAGAAATAGAGATAGATAGATAGATAGATAGACGGATAGACAGATAGATAAAGAAGAGAGAGAGAGAGAGAGAGAGAGAGAGAGAGAGAGAGAGAGAGAGAGAGAGAGAGAGAGAGAGAGAGAGAGAGAGAGAGAGAGAGAGAGAGAGCGAGTCCCACTGAACCGCCAGCCTTGCTAATGGTGGGAACGGCAGTGTCTGTGTGTGCTCAATAAGGCCGTAGAAAACCCTTTATAAAATATGTCTCCTCCTTTTATACTTCGGTTCGTTAATTTGAAAGGGAATTCCAACCGGCGTTTTTCTCTTTTTTTTTTTTATTCGGCTTTTTTTTTTTTCTTTCTTTCTCTCGAAGGTAAATGCGTTATTGGCAAAATAAAAGAAATGTGGTTTCTCCGCGAAGATGGTCTGTGTTGCTTTTGCTTTCTCTCTCTCTCTCTCTTTCTCTTTCTCTCTTCTTTTCCTTCTCGTTGAGTTTGAGTTGAGTTCGTGTGTTTTGTCTTTGGTTTTGATTTTGTTTTTTTTGTTGTTGTTGTTTTTTCTTGTTTTCGTAGATGGTGTAGGGAGTGTGAGGGTAGGATAGGAGGTAGGAGGAGGCGGGGAAGAGGAGAAAGAGAGAGAGATAGAAAGAGAAGGGAGAGAGAGAGAGGGGAAGAGAAGAAGGGAAGAGGAAGGAGAGAGAGAGAGATAGAGGGAGGGAGGAGAGAAAGAGAGAGAGAGAGAGAGAGAGAGAGAGAGAGAAGAGAGAGAGAGAGAGAGAGAGAGAGAGGAGAGAGAGAGAAGAGAGAGAGAGAGAGGACAGACAGACAGACAGACAGACAGACAGACAGACAGACAGACAGACAGAGACAGAGACAGAGACAGAGAGTATGATATAAATAATGATGTATAACTTAAAATATGAACGTACAAATAATGCACAGACAAAAATATGTAAAGAAACAGCAAGCATAGAGAAGACAGTGACAGAACGAATATAAGTTATTCGAATTTCCTCTCTTTAGCAATAATTCACACTCGTAACGCGCTTGACTTGACAAAGATATCGATACATATTCATGGTTCGCAGATAACTTAAATATAAAAGAAAGAAGGAAGAGGAAAATGAGGAATATCGATGAATCTGCGAATCCGCGGCTTAAAAAAAAAAAAGGGAGAGAACTGAAGATATAAATTAGTGACTACAAATCGGGAGAATAGAAAATAAAAATGAATTAGCGAATCCGTGTAAATCATCGGCCACGAAAAGCTATCAGAGAACGGGAAAGTTTAATCATTAATCCGTGAATCCCCAGCTACAAAAAACTGCCAGAGAACAGAAAACAACAACAAATCAATGAATCCGTGAATCCGCGGGCTACAAAAACGGGCGGGAGCAAATGTAAACAATCGCGCACGTGGACTCGAGACTGGTCGACCTTGGCGGTTTATCAGAGGCGCGGGAAGCTAGTTGTCACAGCTGATAATCTACTCGCAGCTGATCATAGTGTTTTTGGCCTTGTAATACTAGGTGATAGTGAGGTATTCTTTAGCACTAATTCTTATGATTTTATTTTACTGTGGATTTCTGAATATTTTGGGGGGTATTTGGTGTTTTTGGATGCGTCGTTAGTGGGTTCTTGATAACTGTATTGGCGCTCGACTATGAAATGGATCCCGTTCATCATATAAATTTACGAAAATAGAAACTATTATATTATCAATTCATTAAAAAGATTCGACCGCACGGGGAACCAGATCACGAAAGGATAAAATAAGATTAAAAATTGAACACTCTTTCGTCTCTCCTTCGAATTTCCGGCAGGTGACGTCACTCTGAAGTCGTCCTTACCTTCATGATTCCGGTTTGGCGACGGCGCTGAAGGAGGCGTCGACGGGGGTATGTTAACCAGAGCTCTTGGGCGTTTTCCTCCCCCGAAGAGCTATCACTCGGAGTAGTCCTTCAGCGTGCACTCGTCCCTCCTTCGCACCAGACACTCAGGAGGAAGCACCGTGTCCTTCGGGTTTTTTTTTTTTTTAAGTGTCAATCACCCTGCGCGGCCCTTCACTACAAGGGGCACCACCTACGGCAGGAGCGGATCTTTCTCTATTTCCTTTCTCTCTCTCTCTCTCTCTCCTTCCTTCCTCGCACTCGCGCTCCCCGACAGAAACAAACGACGCTCCCGCTCTCGCCTCCGCTTTTATAGCTCCGGCGTGAAAGTTGCGGCGCCGCCACCAGCCACTCGCAGGAGGAGGGAGGAGGAGGAGGAGGAGGAGGAGGAGGAGAGAGGAGGAGGAGAAGAGGGAGGGAGGGAGGAGGAGGGAGGGAGGGAGGAGGAGAGGAGAGAGAGGAGGGGAGGAGGAGGTGGAGGAGGAGGAGGGGGGAGGAGGAGGAGGGAGGGAGGGAGGGAGGGAGGAGGAGGAGGAGGGAGGGAGGAGGGGGGGAGGAGGAGGAGGAGGAGGGAGGAGGGAGGGGGAGAGAGGGAGGAAATAATAATAATAATAATAATTAATAATAATAAAATAATAATAAGAAGGAGGAGGAGGAGGAGGAGGAGGAGTAGGAGGAGGAGAGGCCGATCCCCGCCAGGGTCGAGGCTGCCCGGCGATTCCCCCCCCCTCTCCTCTCCCTGTCTCCCCCCTCCCTTCTGGACCCCCCTCGCCCCCCTCCCTTCCCCCGGCCCCTCCCTCCCTCTTCCCTCTTCCCTCTCCTTGCCTCCCCCCCCCCTCTCTCCCTCTCTCTCTCTATTCGTCCTTTCCGCTCATCCTCGGTTCGCGCCCCCGTCTACTCTCTCTTTCTTTAGTCTTTTCTTTTTTTTCCTTTCTCACTCTTTCCTTTTCCTCTTTCTGTTTTTCTTTCTTTCCTCCCGTTTCTCCTCTCTCTATTCTTACCCTCCTCCATCTTCCTCTTCATTTTTCCTTCGCCCTTTTTTTTCCTCTCTCCATCTCTCCTTCTTCTCTCTCTGTCTTTTCCTTCTGTCCTCTTCTTTCCTCCTGTACCATCTCTTTATTTCCTCCTATTCTATCCCTCCTCCCTTATTTAATCCTCCGCCTTCTTCCTTCTTCCTTACGCATTAAAAATAGACGACTGATATCAAAATAAGAAGAAGGAGAAGGAGGAGAGGGAGAGAATAG